GAAGCAATTTACGAAACGTCGGGTCTTTGAAAAAATATAAATAAAATTCTTAGTCAATTACTCTGTGCTTGCCTAGTGATTATTTTTAGCTATTATTGAATTGCATTTTCTAGCCACCTTGGGAGCTGATTTTTCTATTGCATCACGAACGCAGTAATGAATGGCACGTAGGTTATCGGGTATGCTAAGTATTGCAGCAAAACTTGGGTATAAAACCTAGAAAAGGTTAATAAAATCTAAATATTCTATTTCATCAGAGCAAATAAAATATTCAAATCTCGATTTACCAACTCTTCTGCAAATGAGTTTTTTTCTGGACTCACCTTCACACTGCACTCTGACGTCAAAATTGCATTGTCGCATTGGCGACCTCGGCAAGAAAGTTGTTGAGCCTAGATGAAAAAAATGTTATCAATTCTAATATACGAAAATAGAAACTAGGCGAACTCTTAGTTTTTCGTGGTTTAGGCGTGGTGATTGTCTGACAGTCCCAGGATCACTATTTCTTCAGATGTGCTAATCCCGAAAACGGATGAAAACATAGGTAATCGACCACGCTGAATCTCATGGCAATATTTGTTTTCCAAAAAGGTTCCCAAAACCTAGTAAAAACCTATATTAGGTGAAATAACTCATTTTTGCCTATTTTTGAGTAAAATTAAAAAATTCATAACCCAATCAAGATTCATCCAAATTACATCAAAATATCAACATGTACTTTAGTTTACCTGCTGTATATGTTTTTTACTTGAAAATAGTAAAAATCATTCGTGTACTTCTGAAGATTTCTAGAAAACTTTTTCCCAGGAAATAGTGATCCTGGGACTGTCGGGCAATCCGATGCCACGCCTAAACCACGAAAAACTAAGAGTTCGCCTAGTTTCTGTTTTGGAGAAAACACTTTGGACTATCTATCTACGAAGAAGAATCGACCTATTTCTATGTCAGTTCTGAGAGATTCAAACTGATTTTCCGGAAGATCTGCTCAAAACGGGTTTCAAAATTTCTTTTTAAAGTCATTAGCATCAGATGTCTACTTTCGATTGCTGAAAAGCGCAAGTTTCTGGCTTTCTTCTATCAAAAGTTATTCAAAAAACGGCAATCTGCACTGTATTTTGGTGCCGATAATAGTATGTATCTTATTTTTAATCTGATGCTGTTTGGTTAATTATGTTACATTCGTTCAAATCAAATACATAAATTAATCAAATTTATACAGCAGAGTAAGTTCGGGAAATTCTGAACAGCCTCTTTAATTTTCGGAGTATTTTAAGCGTACCTGAAGCATTTTTACTCGGAGAAAAATTGACACTTCACAGGTGGATATTTCTCTTTTTCTTTTATTTTCGCAATTTGTAATTAATTAATCAAGGATATGCCTAAAGGACCAGCAATTTACAAGGTAGATAAAGCTCAAAATTCTCTACAAGATGGTATAATTTTTAATTAGAAAGGTAAAACTTTGTTGTTGAAAAAGAGTTGTTTTACTTTCTTCCAGCCATTTTTGCTGAACTGTCCAGAATTTGGAGTAATTCAAAACAAAGACATCGAAATGTCTTACTTTATGCATCCAAAATGCACCTGATTTATATGGGAGGATGCATCCAAAATGTCTTGACAAAGCATCCACGATGTCGTACGAAGACAACATGGATGCGTAAAATTAGAATTCAGCCGCCTTCGTAGAGCATGGTGACGCGTCTTTTACATGGAACCATCTTCTTATTGATCAAAAATGAGGTTGCGTTTGAGGCACTTGAAGTGGATCTTTTTTTGAAAAATTCACCTCGTTTTTCGCAGTGTAATTACTGTACATTCTAGAGTTTTCAGGTTATTATTATGGAATGACTAGATACGTAAAATGACCGAGTTCACAATTTTTTTCTGCTGATGATATTCCCATAGCTCTATGAGTATTTTTTCTTGTATTCAACTGAGCAAATTATAAGGGTCAATAATGACAAAAATAAAGAAGAATTCTAAAGATAAATTATTTATATGAAAAAAACGATGAACAACCGGAAGTGGTTAATACTCCCGGGAAATGACACACACACAAAAGAAAATTTAACTTCTCACAGAAACGATTCGTTTCTATTGTTCAACGCTCCTTTTCACTTGAATAGAGTTTCATCTAGGAGTCAGAAAATCGTGATTATGTCAATAATTCATTTTTCATATCAATTAATAGAGTTGCATCTTTCCTTAGAATAACTCTAGACTAATGAAATGCTAGAATAAATAAGTTGAATAAACTGAAAGCATGATGATCGAATCGTTTATCGATATTCTTTTGAAAAGCTCACGCATGTAAAAGAAAGAAAAAAGACAAAAGAACTAGAGGATCACAAAGAGTTTATATCAGAAATCGATCTCACTTTTCTCTCTTGTACATTTGTTGATTTTTTATCTGCTTGTCTTGTGAATGGACACCAAACCGTAAATGAGGTTACTAGTAAGCAATCTGTAACAGAAATACTCCAGAAGAATGTACATTACATATACTAACGACCAAACCCCGCGAACTGTCACATCGTTTTTTCAGCTAAACCTTGTGGATTATAGGTTAACAACTATGCTGAATCCGAATTTCATAGTGTTAGCTGCCCAGGGGCTTTCAGCGAACGATTTTCAGGAAAATAGTTTTTCAGAAACTCTAAAAAATAACCAAAACCTTTCTTAATGAGGCATGATTGTAGCCCGCAAATTTCTGATTAAAAGAAGACATCTCTCAGCTCTACACGACCTTTCTTTCCGAAGTTATAGAATTTACAAGAAAAGCCCTAAATGTTCATTGTTAGCTCAAAGCTACAGAAATAAGAAGAAATTAATTTAGGGCTTTTCTTGTAAATTCTATAACTTTGCAAAGAAAGGTCATGTAGAACTGGGAGATGTCTCATTTTAATCAGAAATGTGCGAGCTACAGGTATGGCTCATTAATATAAGCTTTGGTTGTTTTTCAGAGTTTCTAAAAAACTGGTTTCCCAGAAAACCGATCGCTAAAAGCCTCTGAGCAGTTACCACTACAATATTCGGATTCAGCATAGTTGATAACCTGTAACCAACCAGGTTTTAACCCTTTGGCGACGGGAGACGTATACATACGTCCGGTCTTCCCACTAGAGAGAAAACTATCAATAAAATTTTTTTTGTTCAAATTCCGAATGTTAAGTATGCTGTTAGGCCCAGTTTTGTCTGCTGATCTCAAATATGTTATTACTTTTGCTTGAAAATATAAGAGAAGTGAAAAGGGCGCAAAATAAGTGAAATGGCGAAGGTCAGAGGTGAGTGTGTAATCTTTCGGACAAAAGTTTCTCATACGCTTTAGGTTTCTATGATTATTTTTCTTCTAGGTTTCTATGATTATTTTTCGTCTAGGTTTCTATGATTATTTTTCTTCTAGGTTTCTATGATTATTTTTTCATGATTATGATGTACATTGCATGCAAATTCTATAGTATAAAGAGCGACCCTTAGTTCGCCACCCTCGCTCTTCTACGTACGTTTCAATCGTGGGTGCTCGTTCTCAATGCCTTTTCAGAAGCACACAATAGTTAATCTTCATACTTTGACTAGATAATCTACAGACGCTGTAGAGCCTTTGATGCAAATTTGAAGTCAAAATGATGCTCCTAGACTGAGTTGTGACTTTTTTCGAAAAGGAGCTCGAAGTTTCAACAAAAAACCGCGAATCTCACCCGTAAAATAGCTGTATTTCACAGACTACTAACTGCCAACTCACAAAATTCGTATCGTAGATAGAGTAGAGTCGTGGCTACATTTTGGTAAAAAGAAAAAATTTTGATCTTTCTTAGATGAGGAGCTATTGATATTTTACGGAAAAGAAATAAATCACTTATACCTCACGAACCATTGAGTAAAAGAGACCCACACTTGGTGGATGATCAGCATTTGGTAAGAACTATGATCACACAAAATTAGAAGTCACTAGCTGTTATGATTCTTGAATTACAGCAGTGTTGCGCCATTTGCCTATATATGGGCTTCCCGTCGCCAAAGGGTTAAACAGGTGGATAACATGACACTAAATTCAAATGAGGCGATTAAAGGATAGCTAATTTGTAGTGATAACCAACCGTATACTTATCAGAAATAGCATCCTAATCGACAAACTAAATCAGAATGTTTACAGGAAATAAATCATCCTGTTCTTGAATGTGTTTATGGATTGATGAATAAAGAGATTCGCGCACACAATGAAAAACAGAGGTAGACGTTATTCCGACTACTAAATCAAATCTTTCATAATTAAATACAGTAAAAAATCATTAACTTATAAGAAATAAAACAGATAAATATAAATATTAGACATTTTTAGTCATCATTTGTCTTTTAATCTCCCTATACATCCTCTTCTGTCACTTCTATTTAAACGATCGGCCAATAACTAAATATTTTGCATGAAATTGAATTTAATTCTCTATTTATTTTTATCCCTGGATGATACTAATCATCTAAATACATACTATTAAGAATTTTTGGAGACATGCAACTTAATATTTGTGTTTGATGAAAAATGATTGTGTTTAAAAATTTTCACAAGAATTTTAAGCTTATCATAGAGTTTAATATAAATAGTTCTTAAAAATTAGTGTTTCTCATCTAAGAAAATATGTTTTTCGGTATCTTTCTATTAATTTTTTAAAAGGATTTATGTTGATACTCGATTATATATGAAATGAAACATATAATTGATCATAATTATGATAAAACCTTCATTTCCTATTATTTTACTATTCATTTCTAACAGTTATAAACAAAAAATAGATAATCATTTGATATTCATGTACATTTTCTCAAATAATTAACCATTCTTCTTCTTTATTTTTTATAAAATATAATAATAATAATAATAATAATGTATAAAAGAAGAAAAAAAAGAAAAGAAGAAGACAAGAGAGATAAAGATATTGTAGAGTTCATTTTTATAATCAGTTAAGATAAATATATACATGATGACAAATATTACATGTCATAAAATGAAATGGGATTCTATAAATTTGTATTATAATCAAATATGTTTTTATATTACATTGGGAAGTTTATGTATGCACTGTACATTTTGGATACAAGTTATTCTTCATCATAATATTAGACAACGATCATTACAATGGATATACAGTTATCTATTTATCGATATTTTACTCATGTCACTCTTTTTTCTCCAATATGGTATACGAACAAAAGATGATTGTTTTTCGAATACCGTTTTTAGTATATTATGTACACTAGAAGCGTATAGTGCAATTTATTTAAGTCTTATTCAGCCTTATTTGTTAGTTGGTTTAAATATTTGTCGTTATTTACGAATTGTTAAAAGTTTAAATGTTTATACAAGATATATAAAGACAATTTATTTTATTCATATTTTGCTCTATATTTCACCATCACTTAGTTTTATTTTACAATTTCAGTTTGGTTGGTCTATGTTAGAATCAGGCACAGGAGCTATTTGTGATTTAACATATTCCTCCATGTCTGCTCAATCAATAAATATTATGCTCGAGTTTATTATTCCAGTTTCACTTAACATAATTTTCATGGCTATGACACTTGTACATATTCGACATTCAAAACGTACAGTGAATGCTGAAAGACAAGTTCATAAACGACTATTACTTCAATTTTTTATCGTCTATATGATATGGTTATTATTATGGGGTCCCTTTGTGCTTATTTATCAATTTACAAAAATTACAGATAGAATAAGTTTTTATTCTCAAATTATTTCGTTTTGTGAAGTGTTTTGTGATCCGTTTATCTTCATTGCACTTGACAATCGTTTCATTGAGGCATTGAAAAAATCATGGAAGATGTTGAAAAATATACAACGTGTATCACAAATACAACCGAGTAGTAGAGCAATGGCAAGATCTGGATTTTAATAATATTTTAAGACAATTTTTTTTTTTATTAAAAGTCCTGCTACCAATCGATCGAGAATTCTTACAGAAATCGTCAGAAGCTAAAATTTAATTTTGCTTGAAACGTATTCTGTTCGATTTGTAATCATGAAAAATGCTCGAATCCAGCGTTTTAGATTTAGAAATTTATTCGTTGAGGAGATAACGGACCGGCTTTGACATGAGGTCCGGATGGATAGATACATAAAAAGACAATTTTTCATTAAATCAATCAGAGATTAGTTATAAACAAATGAATTTTTTTGATTAATATACTAGTGGAATGAGCAATAAAAATTGAATAAACTGATGTATTAAACTTCATCTTAATATGATATACGCAGTTTTTCCAATCAGTATACTAGCAAAGCGAATTGTAGGAAGAACATGTATATTTTTAGTAAATTTGACTCAGTATTTGCAAAGAGCATATATTTTATATCTGAACATGAACAATTGTTGATTTTATGCTACGATCAACCTGGTAAAAGATGCTCAATCAAATCATGTATCTTTATGTGATCCTTCATACAGTCTAAATCCTAATTCTCTTGTATGTCACTTGGTTTTTGATAGGATCGCTAAAAAATCAGATGAAAAACTAGGTTCTTTTTGGATTTTCCGAAAATGTTAATATTAAACATACCAGAGTTGTAACCGGGCCGCCCAGTTTTCACCAGTTTTTAAAATTTTTAGCATTTTTTCTACTCTTCATTCCAAAAAACATTGAGATGAACAACTTTTTTTTGTGTGCTTAGGAAAGAACTTAGAAAAAAATATTTTTTTTTCAATAGGAAAAGGTTTATATAGTATATTTTGTAGTTTGGAAAAAGTTTTACGATACTACAACCTACTTTCAATCAATATGACGTTGACCTATGAATAACGTCAGAATTTAGCCATGATAAAAGTAAAAGTATTAGGGTATCACGAATTTATCTTTTCCTTTGTCACAATAGCGCTGTACAGTATTTGATGCAGATTTGTTCGTAGGCTACAAGCATAATGTTAGTTTAACGAAAACATCGATACAAACTGACAAAATCGATTTTCTTTAAAATTTGTATACTCTTGGGGTAGACCAGACTCGTATTGTGGCTTCTAAGAAATATAATGTTACATATTCCTTCAGAAAAACTTTCATTCGTTTTTAACTAATCTCTGGTCGATTTAGAAATCGAACTATGGGTATTAGTTTACACGAATGCTCTTTTGTTAGCAAGTTTTTATCGTTTGGATGTTTATCGAAAGTTTTAGCAGCTAAAAAAGCTATGTCGATAAGTTTGATATTAGAAAATGAAGAATCTTTTGAAATATTATCTGTTATTGACTGTGAGAAAGATAATTTGTTGTGATGTGTTGCATGCCATCCAAGTAACAAAAGTTGATCACATTAATAACTATAATTTTTTCTTTCGTGTCATAGAAGATCCTTTATTTTGATGAAATAAAGGAACTCATGAAAGGAAATGTTTATCTCACGAAATCCTAAGGGGTCAAATTAAACTTTTTTAGTAGCAATTTCTTATTAAGCAGAGTCTCTGCTACAGATAACTTTCATCATTTGTTTTTCTAGTTTTCGACCTATAGAACTGTAAAAGATGATCGTTTTTCCACATTACATTATATTACATTTATACTAGAGTCACCGGGTGCTAGGGTAGCCCCAAATCTCGTCCCGCGGGACAGATGTACTCAGAAAAAAAATAACTTTACGCGCTTGGGCTTACGGCGCCGGGTAAGTCGAAGAAAAATGTTGTCCTGTAAGTTTTGTGTTTTGACTGTAATTATGCTGCAACTTCAAATGTTTAATTCTTGTAACACTATCAAATCAGAACCAGAATTTTTATAATAATCAATAAAAATTAGTCTGGAGAGACGGAATAGTCTGGATTTAAACTTGAGAAGATGTTATATATCTAAAACTCGGTTTACAGTTCATTTCTTTCGCTTCTGAGGTAGTGAGTGACTGTAAAACATTTTTTTCACGGAACAAACGGGTTCGGGATAAAAATGTTTATGTCCGGGATCAGAGAAACCGAAAAGTTTGTCTCGCAGGACTGTAATTTATACATTGCAGGACTTTCACAGTAAAAAGATAAACTACTCACTAGCAAAAGAAGGTAGAAGTTCCCATGGGAAGAAAGTTTTGGCTCACATCATGTATAGTATGAAAATTTTCATTGTGTCTCATAGGACCTTGTTAGATTCCCATTCCACGACGACCCTTGAAACTTCTACGGTTAAAATCGACTTAAATTGATGACACGAAAAAAACTTTTGAGGGGGGGGGTAACGAGCATGCTGAGTAACTAAAGTTTTTCATTGAGTAACGCATTTTTTGATTAAAATGTTTTCTGGGTAACTGAGTTACTCAGAAGCTGGAAAAAATCTCTTACTCAGGCAGATCAGAAAAGGCAGTTTCTCTACTTAAATTTCTTAAAAAATTTGAGTAAGTCAAAATTTTTTGAGTAACTGTATCCAAACGACGGGGTGGTATGCCACCCCCTAATCGATAACGCTGGTGCAAAGCGTATGTTTTGTGTTAATTCTCTTTCAACGCAAAATCCATATCAAAAGTAAATAACCGATGGTGTCATTGTTATAGTCATATTTTTACTACATCGAAGATTTGTGATTGATGCGTTTTTTTATGTTCTGTTTATACATTTGTAAATGTAGTCGGAATACAAAGCCAACCACTAAATAACTCTTTAAAGCTCCTCCGTCTCAGTCAGAATGCCGATCTTCGTCAAAAATATCGATTTTGAGAAAAACTCATAGTTGGATAGCCCAAAGTGTCTGCTTTCTAACAGCATAATTTTTGTGTTGATAGGATAGGTTTTTTTTTGATTTTTGAGTGGTTTCTCAAAAGTCATGTAACAAAAAAAGTAACTTTTTTTTACGTAAATGTGTTTCTATGTGCGCACATGTTCATTAGATCCATCATGACCGATAACCTCTAGAAAGTATCAACAGAATACTTAATGCTCGAACAGTTTTCAACCAAAACGCATTTAACAGAATCAAAACTTATTACTTATTTTGCGTTTTTCTCAAGACTGTTTTTTAGCTTCAGAGCTTTCACCATGTGCAGGAATTCTTGGTAACGACCGGTCGGAGAAATTTTTCTTTTTGGGTTTGTCGATAACACTTATAGTTAGGACTTGAAAGAGTCAGATTTTTAAATTATGCTTCCATTTTTTATAGAAATGAGGATTTCTAAGAAACCTTTCAAGGATTTTTCGAATTTTAAAGTTCTATTAAGCACCAGAAATCAGTAAATGAAAATTCAACAATCGGACTCTGTCAACTCCTAGCCATAACTGTTTACTCCAAAAGAAAAAAACCCGAGCTTTCTATCATTTACCTGGAATGATAATTCTTGCACGTGGTAGACCCCTACTTTTGGCCCTTGTTGTAGCGCCCTCTTAAGAACAGTTGCAATTGATTCCATAAAAAGATTTCGTTACCACGCTTTAATATGGTCAACATTCCCTGAAAGTTTGGTTCAGATCAGACCTACATGAGCTGAGATAAGTTTCTGAGGGGTGCGGCGGCTTAAGGGTAGAACGCTCACTCTTTTTGGGTAAAATATCTCTTTTGAGTTGAACGTGGCCTAATGTATAGAAAAGTTTGGGCTACAAAATAAGACCACCTCCAGCGTTTCACGATCTTTTCTGCAAAAGTTATGGAATTTTAAGTTTATATTCAAGAGAACGACAAAACTCGACTCTGAGTAAAAATACATCGATGTTCTGTCGCCGGTAAGACGTTAAACTCAATCGGACGTTTGCTACACCCTTTCAACAGTACGGAAAAGAGAAAGTGTACCCTTAATTCACACACGTGACGGCTTGTGTTGATAATGATTGATTCTGGACCGTTCGATACTCTGGATGGATATTTTCATTTATCGTAGTCGAGATGGTAGCGATTGATTATTTCTCTCTAACTTTTAAACATTGAAGCCATTCTCAGTGGTTGGCATTATTCGTTTACTAGATTACTATGAAAAATTTACAGACCCAAAGGAAATTTTTGGTCATTTGCAAATCATCATGCTAAACGACATCAGCTGAACAAGATAAACAGCTTCGTGGCTTGTCCAGCTAACAGCCTCCATTTTTTGCTCTTTTTCGAAAAGTTATTGCAATAAAGCTACAAACTAATCTAAAATGGCAACTAGATGATTAAGTAGATTAAATATTTCTCTACAAAATGAAAAGTGTCTCGGCTCTGAACGTTGATTCGTTATGAAAATACAGCTGTTGTACAAACAGCTCCAAAAATCGATTTTTGGGCTATCTGAAAAGCATGTCTAAAAGAGTGGAGACGAGCTGAACAAGTATACCAGTTTGTAGAAAATGTTTCGCTCTACAAGATGTGATAGCTTATCAAGTTCGAAACTATTCTAATTAATCTGTATCAATCAAAGAAAAATCAGAGAAACGGTAATGCTGTGACACTTTTGACCATTTTTTGTTCGTTAGCTGGACAAACCATTCAGCGCAATGAATTCAGCATTATTCATGGAACAGAATGAGTAAGAAATGAGCAAAATATTTCTTCTATATTTTTTTCTCTTGATATAAATAAAGTACATTAAATAAAATGTTTTATACGAACTTTCGATCGTTTTGATTGTAGATTTGACATTGGGAAGCTAGTTTATAACTTTTGACATACTATTATTATTTCTATAATACTGAAGTCATAGAAATATTCGCGTTAATTATACTACTCAAGTATTTTTTTATTCTTTCATTCATTCAAATTATCATTTAAAACAGTCGAATTCTGCTACTACAGACTACTTCGGAAATGACTTATGCCACCGTATTTTCAGACTAGGGGCGTCTATCCCCACCTGAATATTTGAGGCATTTTGTACCACCTCAAAGGTTCGATCATTCAGTGTACCACTCAGGTCGAAGAATCGTACTAAGATCGTATCTGAATCAGACAAAATCGTACCAAAT